CCAGTTCCAGAATGCAGTATTGCTTGCACTTCCACACTCGCGTAGAGCGCAGCAAAATAGTGGTATTCTCTGTAAATAGTGTCGCTCAGGCCAGTTTGGGCCTTCTGGTTCCCTTACTTGGGGTTCATTATTGTTTTTCAAAGGCTTGACGTAGTACCTTGACGGATTGTACCTTAGTTTAAGGCTTTATCGACGTCTAAGATCAAGGTCGGGTGAACGACCCCGAGGGAGGAAAGGGACGGAAACTACCAGGGGGGAAAGCGTCAAGCCATTACGGCTATATAACACTGGGAAGGGGTCAGGATAAGGATCTGGGATGGGTTGGGGGGAAAGGAATGGTGCCCAACCCCTTGTGGACGGTCGAGGATTGGACGCCGACCTGCATGAAGCGAGACCGTCGCTCTACCGTCCAGCCCAAGTGGTTGGCTGAACCATTTGGGCTTCAGCGGTAGGAACCTTGAAAGTATCTTGATTGTGTCGGGTTGGATTCTTGCTGGACAAGTGGAGCCACACGAGGCGTGTCTCCACCCAGCGGTACAGAGGTGTTGTGGGAGCGTGGTGGTGTGGGAGCGTGGTGGAGGTGTTGTGGGAGCGTGGTGGAGGTGTTGTGGGAACGTGATGGAGGTGTTGTGGGAGCGTGGTGGTGGTGTTGTGGGAGTGTTGTAAGAGCGTGGTGGTGTTGTGGGAGCGTGGTGGAGGTGTTGTGGGAGCGTGGTGGAGGTGTTGTGGGAACGTGATGGAGGTGTTGTGGGAGCGTGGTGGTGGTGTTGTGGGAGTGTTGTAAGAGCGTGGTGGTGTTGTGGGAGCGTGGTGGAGGTGTTGTGGGAGCGTTGAGGTGTTGTGGGAGCGTGGTGGGGGAGGACAGTAGCGGACTAGGGGGGGGTGGCATCGAGGGTGTCAGTGACAATGGGAAGCTGTTTAGAGTGCCTGGGTGACAGAGAAGGTGGTGGTGCGGAGCTGAGGCACCTAGACCTCTAGTATCTTGAGACTCTAGAGCTACAGCTGCCTAGATTCATCACTCTAGAGTATGTTATGAACCGCAGCGATGACGGCGAGACATTCTATTGCATCACATCAGAAGAATGTTTCTAGAAAGACTAGAAACACATAGCCCTAAATATGAGACGAAAAAAATAAACAGTAGCACAATAATCGCTGTTGAATACGCAGCCTCGGCTTGGAACCCTCTCCTGATAAAGTACAAGCCTAGAAAGAATCCCCAAGGCATGCGACAAGGCGGGTTCCTGAACTGTGGAGCCGTAGCTACGAGGGCAGACCGAAGGAGCTTGAACTCTCCACACTGGACGAGAGGAGGAGGACGAATAGATGAGACATGACAACATCATCAAAGATTATATGACAAATTGACGAGACGAAGACGCAATATTTCCATAGCTTGGAAGCCAGCTTGGGCGTGACAGAGAGGTTAGACATGACACTGAAGAGTAATTTCACATGCCGTGACATGAGAGTCAAATAGCAGGGGAAACTCAACAAGGCTGGGCGCCAAACGGGGTGACACAGTACAGCCAAACACACACACAATAAGGGAGCCAAAGAGCGCACAGCTGGGAAGCCAGACAAGACGCAACAGGGGACCCAGACAGGGCGTGGCAGGGAGGGATGGTGTTGGCGACAGAGTGCAGGCGGAGGGTAGGATAGCAGACGCAAAAGCTAGCTAAATTACTGAAGCTGGTGGCGCCACTCCCCTGGTGTGAGAGTAGGGGAGAGGAGAGAGCACCTCTAAGATAAGTAAAAGCGACTGTATGAGAGGGGGGATAGAGTTTATACAGGAAGTTCCAGGAGGAACTGTATGCGTGTATATACAGATGACCTGAGAAGAGAGAGAGAGAGGGGAGGGGTCCTGTATAAGAGAATGCAGGGCAATACACAGGACGAGAAGTAGCATGAAGGGAGACAGACCAAAGCTACAGGACTACGCACCGAGGACAATCATTGTGAGGGAGCACAACATGAAGAAAAAAACTTAAGGCGTATATAAGAACTACGCAATACAAAACTAATAATATGGGTATTTGATATGAAATTAACAGAAACTATAATAAAGGACGATAATAATGGGGTTGGCCAAAAGATACAATTGAGAGTCAGAGATAACCGAGAAAGATAATTGAGATAGAAATGAGAAAGACAGATAAAAAATGAGAGAGGCAGGATGAGAGAAATAGAGATATTGCGCGAGAGAAGACAAAGGAGAAAACTTGGAGCAAAAGGAAGACAAATAAACGCCAGAAAATATAGGAAGGTGGAGGACAGGAGAGGGAGTGAGTGCGATAGACGATAGAAGAGAGGGAGAGGGAGAGTAATAGACATACCAAAGGGAAGAAAAGCAGTGTAGCTGCTCTAAACGAGAGAGAGAGAGAGAGAGAGAGAGAGAACGAGAACGACGCCTGAAGTGTACGCATGGGAGAGGGGGGAGAAGGGAGGTGAGAGAGAGAGAGAGAGAGAGAGAGAGAGAGGAAGCAAGATAATTGTTGCCTCAAGAGCAATGAGGGAGAAGACAGGCTCCAAGGCAGGGCCCAGGAGGCGAAGCTTCACTAGTGCTGGGGGTATTGCTGTCCTCCCATTCACTCTATATCACCTGTTCCAAATCTGGTTAGTAATCCGCTTGTTTACTATCAGTTAACGAGTACAAAGGGTTCAGTACTGTAGTAATTATCAAAAGAAGGCACCAAGCTGGGAAGGCTCTGTAGCGGTTCATTATTGTGTACCTAACAATTACCCCAAGTCGAGATGTAGTTCAATTGTGTTTCGGCTAATCAGCACCTCTGGTGCCATGTGTTTGATTCATACCTTTAATGAAACAGCAGAGCTCAACCCCCGCAAGCACAACTAGGTGAATACACACACAAGGTTTGCCACCAGACTAGTACCCGAGCTGAGAGGTATGAGCTACGAGGAGAGACTACGGGAATTAAACCTCACTTCGCTGGAAGACAGAAGAGTTAGGGGGGACATGATCACCACATTCAAGATTCTGAAGGGAATTGATAGGGTAGATAAAGACAGTCTATTTAACACAAGGGGAACACGCACAAGGGGACACAGGTAGAAACTGAGTGCCCAAATGAGCCACAGAGATATTAGAAAGAACTTTTTTAGTGTCAGAGTGGTTGACAAATGGAATGCATTAGGAAGTGATGTGGTGGAGGCTGACTCCATACACAGTTTCAAGTGTAGATATGATAGAGCCCAATAGGCTCAGGAATCTATACACCTGTTGATTGACGGTTGAGAGGCGGGACCAAAGAGCCAGAGCTCAACCCCCGCAAACACAACTAGGTGAGTACACACACACACACACACACACACACACACACACACACACACACACACACACACACACACACACACACACACACACACACACACACACACACACACACACACACACACACACATATGTGTGTACACCATCTTGTACACCACATATGTAAGACCAATCCTGGAGTATGCGGCCCCAGCATGAAGCCCGTATCTTGTCAAGCACAAGACGAAGCTGGAAAAAGTCCAAAGGTATGCCACTAGACTAGTCCCAGAACTAAGAGGCATGAGTTACGAGGAAAGGCTGCGGGAAATGCACCTTACGACACTGGAAGACAGAAGAGTAAGAGGAGACATGATCACAACCTACAAAATCCTCAGAGGAATCGACCGGGTAAACAAGGATAAACTATTCAACACTGGTGGGACGCGAACAAGGGGACACAGGTGGAAACTGAGTACCCACATGAGCCACAGAGACGTTAGAAGGAACTTTTTCAGTGTCAGAGTAGTTAACGGATGGAATGCATTAGGCAGTGATGTGGTGGAGGCTGACTCCATACACAGTTTCAAATGTAGATATGATAGAACCCAGTAGGCTCAGGAACCTGTACACCAGTTGATTGACAGTTGAGAGGTGGGACCAAAGAGCCAAAGCTCAACCCCCTGCCCCCCGCAAGCACAATTTGGCGAGTGCAATTAGGTGAATACACACAGTACAAACTCCCCCCCCCCCTACGCCTCCACACCCCCAGCATCACTCATCCCCCCCCCCCTACATACTACCCCCCTTGTTAGAGCCTGGCTTGAAGATCCAGCAACTGTTTTAATGAGCTAAGTTTGTTGATAGCGACCAAGGGCCCCCCTTAGGGTACCCCGGGGTACCCTAAGATGGCGGCGTGAGATTGGTGGTGGTCACCACAGGTGGTGATAATGGTGGTAATAGTGGTGATTGATAATTTCAAGCCACCTTGATCTAAGCCAAAGGGGGGGGGGGGTTGATTCCATTCCACCGTCTTAACATTCAATTCAACAAACTAAAGACGAATTATTAACATAACTACATACATCATTTATTTTTTGTGTGCTAAAAGTAATTTAGTCTTGGCAGAAAAAAATATTTTCTAATCTGTTTATATAAATGTATTTTGATTGTCGTTTACAGAATCGAACATCCCGGTTGTTGGCAACGTCTTCAGCTTCGTCTCGACGAAGTATCCGGACGAGTGGTTCTGGAGGATGGTCAAGGTAGGTTGACCGGGTCAAGGGTGAGCTGACCAGGTCAAGGGTGAGCTAACCAGGTCAAGGGTGAGCTTTTATTAGCGACATAAATGTCAAACCTTTTCCAGTTTTGTCCAAATTCATGACTTCAAAAGTCTATTTTCTGGCGGTCCATCACGACATACTTGTACGATATACCATGTTGTTAATATAGGTATTTTCATTTGGGAAGGATGGGCGGCTCTATCTCTGTGTCTGTGGCTCTATCTGTGTATATCTGTGGATCTATCTCTGTGTGTCTGTAACTCTATGTATGTGTCTCTGTGGCTCTGTCTGTGTGTGTGTCATACATACACACATTAATCTGACGGATTTTACCTTTAAATTTTTTGTCTCTTGCCTTTTATCTGTATATTTGGTCACTCTCTCTCTCTCTCTCTCTCTCTCTCTCTCTCTCTCTCTCTCTCTCTCTCTCTCTCTCTCTCTCTCTCTCTCTCTCTCTCTCTCTCTCTTTATCCCTCTTGTACACCCTATTCTTCCTCGTTCTCCTGATCTTTCTCATTGTTCTTGTGTATCCCCCCATTCTTCTTCGTTGTCCACTTCCCACTTCACCTTTACCTTTGTATTCTCCATATTTTTCGTTCGGTTTTCTCCCCCTCTCACCTCCACTCTTTCCTTTTCCCCCTCCCCTCTTCCCTTGGCATTCAACCTCGGCTCTTCCATCTTCCCATCCATTATTCCCCTCCATCTCCCCTCCCCCCCAGCATCTCTCCCCTCTCCTGAGTTTCTGCTGTGTATCTTCCATTTCATACCTGCCCCAACATCAGGCGTGACGACCTTGTCTGTGGTCCACAGGTGGTGATGTGGCTGATCGCCATCTTTTGTGGGATGCTGGTGGGCAAAGTGCTCATCCACGGCCTCATCTTCAAGCGGATGCTGCGACTTAAGATGTTCAGAGATGAGCAGGTGAGTTTGAGCAGAGGCCGGGAGAGAGAGAGAGAGAGAGAGAGAGAGAGAGAGAGAGAGAGAGAGAGAGAGAGAGAGAGAGAGAGAGAGGCAGCTAGGGAAGGGGAAGGAGCTAGAAATGAGATACTTGTGATAAATGAAAGAAAAGGAGGCTGGTAGGAGGTAGCCAGTGAGAGGACGGGAAGCCAGAGAAGAGATATAACACCACGGAAGAAACTAAACGGAAGAGGAGAGAAGATCTGATAGAAAGGATAGACGCAAGTAAATATGGAGCGAGATAAAGCACAAGACGAAGTGTGTGTGCCAGAGAGAGATGTACCTCTCTCTTGGAGAGGCACTTGTGTCCGTGGGAGAGCCTGGGAGACCAGAGGCCGGGGAGTTGAAAGTTCCCGCCTTTTTGTGGTCACTAATCCGCGCCATTTTCTCTTTCTTTTTCCCCTCGGGTGGACAGGGCTCGTGGATGACGATGGCGCTGACGGTAATTGTGTCGCTGTACATGTTCTCCTACGTGTACAACCTCATCCTTCTGATTGGTCACGGCGAGCCCTGCAGGTGGCAGATTGGCTCAGACATGAACGTTACCAATGAGAGGTGAGTTGTAGGGCAGGAGGAAGGTTGTTGGGGGCGGGGGCGGGAAGAATGTGGTTGGAAGGGGGAATAGGGAGAGTGAGAGAGAGAGGGAGAGATAGTACCTATCTTCACACCATCCCCATGACATTACAACATTATCCCCACACCATAACCACCACCCCCCCCACCATAACCATCCCCCACACCATAACCATTCTCCCACACCACAACCACCACAACCACACCACCACTACCCCCAATAAAGTGGCTCCTCCCTCCCCAGTGCACCACTAAAGCGGGGAAGGAAACTAAAAGTGCGTTCTTGGACGTTCTCCAAGTCAAGTCAATATATCTTAAGGTTGAAAGCCACCATTGTGCCACCTGGAGGTCGTAGAGTATAAAGCCTAGTGCCACCCATTTACAAACTCGCCAGTCGTTTAACATGGTCAAACAATTGTTTATAAATCATTTTAGTTCCTGTCTCTTAGTTATTTATATATATTAGTTGATTTATAGAAATTCCATTGAGTGAAGATCTCACAAGTGAGGGGGCCAAGATTCATCAAGGATTTACTCAACTATTTACGAAACCTGTGCATCTTTTCCTTAATGATGGCGGCTTTGTTTACATTTATTCAACAGTTTACGAGCTTTGAAACTTAACAACCCAAGGTTATTTTTGTTATATAAATTCTTCACATCCTTCCCCAATCACTGGATGATGTTTGTGCACACTTCTTGGTAAGCTGCACCACCTTGTCACTCACTGTGAGCTTCCACCAACTGTACTCACTTAGTTGTGCTTGTGGGGAGTTGAGCTTCGGCTCTTTGGTCCCGCCTCTCAACCATCAATCTAATGGTATGCAGATTCCTGACCTTCTCGAGCTCTATCATACCTACATTTGAAACTGTGTCTGGCGTCTCTACCACATCACTTATGGTGGTGGAGACTTGAGGAGTAGACGTTTGCCTTCTCCTTCGTGTCTCTCCTCGTCTTCCTTCTTTTACAAATACTCTTTTTTCATTTTCGTCCTTTGCTGCATTACCAGTTGAACCTTAAACTGTTCACCTGCCTTTGTGTACTATCCTGCTGCCTCCCTCTTGCGTCTGAACATGTCTGCTTCAGATATTGCATCATATCATGCCGTAGTTTGTGCCGAAGTTGTTGCTGTTTGTCTGCTTCTGTTTGCCTGTGAGTGCGGTGCTTGGTGAGTCACCACACATGGGAACCAGGCCACGTTTTTAAACCAGCATTCACCTGCCTTCTGATGAATAAGCCAGGGGTTACATTAGCTCATCATTGTGTATTCATGCTGCCATGTAGCACCAGTGTGCATGGTAGGAGGAGAGGAGACAAACAGGAAGAGGAGAGGACAGTAATGAGGAAGTGGAGAGAAACGGGTAATGAGGAAAGAAGAGGGGTAATAGGAAGATGGGGAGAACGATGGGGGCAAGAAGGGAAGGAGAGAGAAGAGGAAGAAGTAAAGGGGACAGGAGAGGGATAAGAAAAGGAAAGGAAAGGAGAGAGAGAGAGAGAGAGAGAGAGGAAAATGGAAAACTCATAGAATCATTAATCACTCGTCGACGTCCATCTATCAAAGGCAGTGTGTAATGACAGCATTAGATTGGCGATTTGTCGAAGTGTGTGTGTGCGTGCGTGAGTGCGTGCGTGTGTGTGTGCGTGTGTGTAGGTAGTGACGACTATAATGGAAGGCAGTGGGGGGGGGAGTAAACGAAATTTTCCTGTATATGAATGACCCATTGAACAGAGGCAGGCTTGGAGTAATCCTACAGGTGGCTCACTTGGGACCACTCGCCCACTTTCACAACTACTGAACCCTCACGTATAAAACGCGTATCAAACTTATTCAGACTTTGAACATCATTTTTGATTGATGTTCGAGAACCGCTACCAAATTCCACGCCTTATTGTTTCAAAAGGTAACTTGGTATGTACCGTATGACAGAGCAAGGCAAGGTATTGCAGGGCTCAGGTTGCATAGTTCCATTGTTAATTACTCGTCAACAGGCAAAGTTTAATTATTAATTCATATTCAAGAATTGCATAATTTTTCCCTCTCGTTTCATTCCACAGGGACATATACTTCTTTCATCATCATTACTTTAAGGGACTTCATTCCTTCTTTCGCACTCGTCAGCATAGTAATTACTTCATGCGCAGTGGTCAGCATAAGTAATTACTTCATGCACAGTGGTCAGCATAAGTAATTACTTCATGCGGAGTGGTCAACACAGTAATTACTTCATGCGCAGTGGTCAGCATAAGTAATTACTTCATGCACAGTGGTCAGCATAAGTAATTACTTCATGCGGAGTGGTCAACACAGTAATTACTTCATGCGCAGTGGTCAGCATAAGTAATTACTTCATGCGCAGTGGTCAACACAGTAATTACTTCACGTACAGTGGTCAACACAGTAATTACTTCATGCGCAGTGGTCAACACAGTAATTTATGCGCAGCGGTCTGCACAGTAATTACTTCATACGCAGTTGTGACCAGCACTTTTTAGTTAAGGTCGTTGATTAAGTCCCTTCATACTCATCATGTGGCCATGTGGCAGAAATGTTGGTCAACATAATGGATTCAGGTATTGAATTATATTTGTAGTGAGCTAGTTGTATACAAGTCTAGTTGACCTAATTAGCGCCACACCTCCATAACAATACCAACAACGGAAACTATTAAACACTATAGGAACAGTAAGGAGCAAGGAGGATGGTAGTTCAGCATTATTACCACTACTCCTTCCCAGCTGTGTCTGGGTACACGTGACAGGATGAACAACCCAGCGGGTTTTCTTCCTATTGGGGAGTGTTATACACGGTGCTATGGCGGTGTGTCCACTCACGGGTTGAGTGGCGCTGCCCAATACTGTCACTGGCGGTGTGTCCACTCACAGGATGAGTGGCGCTGCCCAATACTGTCACTATGGCGGTGTGTCCACTCACAGGATGAGTGGCGCTGCCCAATACTGTCACTATGGCGGTGTGTCCACTCACAGGATGAGTGGCGCTGCCCAATACCGTCACTATGGCGGTGTGTCCACTCACAGGATGAGTGGCGCTGCCCAATACTGTCACTATGGCGGTGTGTCCACTCACAGGATGAGTGGCGCTGCCCAATACTGTCACTATGGCGGTGTGTCCACTCACAGGATGAGTGGCGCTGCCCAATACTGTCACTATGGCGGTGTGTCCACTCACAGGATGAGTGGCGCTGCCCAATACTGTCACTATGGCGGTGTGTCCACTCACAGGATGAGTGGCGCTGCCCAATACTGTCACTATGGCGGTGTGTCCACTCACAGGATGAGTGACGCTGCCCAATAAACTCGCCTCACGGGGGCAAAACGTAAACAAGAAAAAGACAATGTCAGTAGCTCAGTCGGCAGCGTCTGGGATGATCTCGGTCGTAGGTTCGAATCCTCGTCACGGCCCTTGTGGATTCTGTTGGTAAAGCATAAACTTGTCTTTCTCGCCCTCCCTGGCCAGCATGATGAAGGCGGCGGCGACGTGCACCTGGCTGGGGGACCTGGTGACGGCCCTCATGGTAACTGACATGATGCTGCAGGACAACCTCTACCCCCACTGGGCCGCGGGGTTCCGGCGCCTCTACCGCCTCTCCAACGTGCCGCGCATCCTCATCTTCTGGTGCGGCTCCATCGTCGTCGCCGTCATCGTCATCTTCCTCATCGTCTCCGACTACATCTCCTGGGACGAGCTCAACAAGGGATTCGTCGAAACCACAGGTGAGCCGCCCTCGGCAGCTGCTGCTGCTGCTCGGTGGCTGAGATGAGGTTTACAGGTAGTGTGTAAAGAAAGTCACAAGGACCGTGACCAGGATTCGAACCTCGTCACGGCCCTTGTGGATTTGTTCATTTCATGTATCACGCTATTGTGATTTCTGTGTGTAAGACAAGTTGTGTATGTTGAGATAAGGTTTACAGGTAGCGTATGTATGTTAAGATAAGGTTTACAGGTAACGTGCGTATGTCGAGATACAGTTTACAAGTAACGTGCCTATATCGAAATAGGGTTTAAACGTGCACATGTTGAGATAAGGGGATGACAAAGTATAGATGACAGGTGGATCAACAAAGCACAGATGACAGCGGAGGTTCCCAATGTATAAATGACAGACTCTGGAGTGCCATGTTAAGTATCAGGACACACAGTAGAGTGTTACTTCAGCTATTCTCACATATAAACACCTGAGTGATAACACTCCAGGAACCTCTCACCGCCTGTCAGCAGGTTCGTACAAAATATAAATGTTGGATGATTCCCTGATATACTTAAGCCATAACAATTTGTTATAATTTAAAAAATTTAAGGAACATGTTATGTAAGTTTGGGGATTATTGTTGTGTGGTTAAATATAAAAGGTCAATGAGGCAGCTGATATAGTTTTGTTATGCTTGAAGTTGCTTTAGTTTATGTTTGGAAATCTTCAATCAAAATAGCGCTGCTAGTACAGCACATAATACAAATTTAATAATGAATTATTAATGAGAATTTACAAATAATAAGTGTTAGATGTATGTTTAATCTACCTAAAGCACGCACACACACACACACACACACACACACACACACACACACACACACACACACACACACACACACACACACACACACACACACACACACACACACCCATTTTAAGCAATGTGTTTGCAATATTGCAGAGCTCTCGCGAGCATTCCTGGCGTCGTTCATCCTGGTGATGGACCTGCTGATTGTGATGCAAGATTGGGACTTCCCGCACTTCACCTCCACCATCGACGTCAACCTGCCGGGCTTCTCCACCCACACGCTCCACTGGAAGTACGCCCAGACCTCCATCACGGGCAAGTGGTTCAACTACGGCATCATCTTCCTCGTCATGATCCTCGACCTTAACATGTGGAAGAACCAAATCTTCTACAGTCCGGCGCCTTACGGCCAGTACATAGGTCAGTGGTGGTTTCTTACGACCCCTCAATAGGTCAGTGGTGGTTTCTTACGACTCCTCAATAGGTCAGTGGTGATTTCTTACCTCTCAATAGGTCAGTGGTGGTTTCTTACGACTCCTCATTAGGTCAGTGGTGATTTCTTACGACCTCTCAATAGGTCAGTGGTGGTTTCTTACGACCCCCTCAATAGGTCAGTGGTGATTTCTTACGACCCTCAATAGGTCAGTGGTGGTTTCTTACGACCCCTCAATAGGTCAGTGGTGGTTTCTTACGACCCCCTCAATAGGTCAGTGGTGGTTTCTTACGACCCCCTCAATAGGTCAGTGGTGGTTTCTTACGACCCCACAATAGGTTTGGGTTGCTCTGGCCACTGCCAGCACACGGGTGTTTAAGGGTGCCGTAGGGCAAGTTGATACATACTGAGGCAAGTATAGCCTTACAGCAAGGGTCCCTGTTGTTGATAAATATATAGGTAAGGAAAAGGCTCCCTATGGCCAAAAGAGGAGTGAAGGGTTGAGTAAAGATTTCTGCAGGCAGTATAGGCCTATATATGTGTGTGAATGGTGTTCCTTGCAGGCAGTATATAGGTGCAGGCAGTATATTGCGCGGAGTACAAGACTCTGTGGGTAGTATATAGGCGAGTATAATGGTTCCTGCAGTCAGGACACTATGTACTATGTAATTGCTGGTTGTTGGGCAAATTTTCTACTTGATAAGCTGTTATTGTGACTCTTGGGTAATTAATGTACTGTATTGTTAAGGTAAACTTTCCCCAGTTGCAGCTGTTCACCCATTTATGAATAAAGTCTTTGAAGCCTGTACTTGGGCTTACTGTTAAGTGAACAGGGCCCATCAGGTGAAAGGAAAGGTGCCCAACTGTTTCTGTCCTCGGGGAATTGAATCCGGATGCCTGGGGTTTGAAGCAAGGACGTACACCCAGAGCATAGATAAGTGTGTGGGGGGACGCACTCAGCATACTCAACACACTCAAGCTACGGTCAACAAGGATGTGCTTGGGATGAACTTAGCAAGTCTAGTGCGTGTGTCCTTGCACTGTCGCGGGCAGCCCGTGTCCTGCATGCCTGAGAGGTGGGACCATAGAGCCGGAGCTCAACCCCCCCCCCCCCCCTGCGCAAGCACAACTAGGTGAACACAACTAGTTGAGTACATATCTAAGTCCCAAGTGGAAATGCTTCACAGCGCTCAGCCAACGTAATACTCTTCATTTTAAAGACTGAAGCTCTGTGGGTGAGTGTAATCGAGCCTAAAGTTATACAAATTAACTGTTAGTAAACAAACAATAAGTCCAATTATTATGAGTGAAACAAATGCTGAATAATGAGAGATTATTTTGGTCATATAGTGGGATCGAACTCGCGTCCGTGGACTCCCCATAGAACGCCTTCAATATTTCCCCCATAGATACATCGTGGTGTTGTGATGCCATTGTGGAAATATTGCACTGCATGACAGGAGTGATGACGTAGAGAATACTGACGATTGGGCTCGGTGATTACTTTCCCTCATAACTGGTGAGACGTCGTGATGTTATGAGTCCCGTGGCCCAGTCCCCAACTAACAGCCCAACCATAATGGGTTCGATCCTCAGGCGTGACAGAGACGGTTGGGGGGTACATTTTCTTTCACCTGATGAACCTGTTTACGTAGCAGTAAATAGATACCCCGAGAGGTGTCGATATATGTAACAGGCTTCCTGTCCCCGGTCAAGAGAGAACTATACAGGACACTGATACTGTAGTTTTTTATCACTGGCTGGACGGTAGAGCAACGATCTCGCTTCATTCAGGTCGGTGTTCAATCCCCGACCGTCCAAGTGGTTGGGCACCATTCCTTTCCCCCCATCCTATCCCAAATCCTTATCCTGACCCCTTCCCAGTGTTATATACCCTTAGTGGCTTGGCGCTTTCCCCCCCTGATAGTTCCCTTCCCTCCCGTTTTGTTTGTTTATTTTTGTGTTTGTTTTTGTAATATTCAGAAGACGACGGTAGAGTGGCTGAAGAGTTGTTTCATAAAATGTATATTTATTAAAGCCGCTGTAGTACACAGAGCACTTGTGAATGGGGTGTTTTATTATTATTATTATTATTATTATTATTATTATTATTATTATTATTATTTTCTACCACAGAAGTGGCCACACATTTACAATGCTAACCAGCATATATACATTTTCGTCTGTCCTCCATGGACAGGGTTAGAGATGTGTTAAACATATAGTTCAGGGGTTTATTGGACAATCAACCACAGAAGGTGATTCGGTGCTTTTAAAATGCTAAGCTAACCTACATACGTAAATACATAGATACACAGATTTACGTATGCCCTACATAAAGTGTTCGATGTGTCTTTTACATAGTGTCATTAATGTGCATTTACATAGTGTCATTAATGTGCATTTACATAGTTGTCATTAATGTGCATTTACATAGTGTCATTAATGTGCATTTACATAGTTGTCATTAATGTGCATTTACATAGTGTCATTAGTGTGCATTTACATAGTGTCTTTAATGTGCATTTACATAGTTGTCATTAATGTGGTGGTGTACGGGACAGATCCGGTGAGCAGACACGTGTACTCCGTGGAGGACCCCGTGTTTGTAAACAATGGAAACGCCACCCTCTGGACGTGGGAGGCTCGCTCGCTAGTCAACAATGATACCGGACGCCCTTATAGAGAAAGTAAGTTCTTATTTCCTTCCATTACTAGCTAATTTACGCAGCGAAAATGGTCTCCTCTTTCTTTTTTTTTTATTCATCTTTTTGTGACTTCATTTTCTTGTGTATATTTCATGAATTGAAGACTATTTCATTCTTCAGTGATAGTTTATTTTTCAGTCAATATAGTCCGCCTTCTAAGGCTATTTCATTATGTTACTTTACAATTTTCAGAGGTATTCAGTTCTTCACTTTGTGTCCCAGTTTAATTGTCAAACCTGTTGGTATTTCAATAAGTAGGATTCAAAGTATCATACACGCGATAGAGCAATATATATATATATATATATATATATATATATATATATATATATATATATATATATATATATATATATATATATATATATATATAATATTTTGAAAGATCATGTTAAAACACAAGATGTTTTCGTATTTGCAAACGTGTAATATATTTGTATATTAATAGTATATATAATATTGTTATATTCTCACATTATATAAGGTAGCTAACAGCCATTGAGCCTCAGTTTAGCCTATGTGCTAAATTCGAGAATTTAGCCTTTAATTTAGAATTAATTTTTAATTTAGAATTTAGCCATAGCCTTTAAGAAAACTCCGCTGAAAGATATCGAACACCATCTCTCAGTACGCAAACCTGTAAATGCATCTCAACACGGTATCGTTAAAAACAAATGCTATCTAGACATCAATCCCAAAAGTCTCAAATTGACGTTTGGGTCCGTCCTGGATTATTATCAAATCGTATAATGACTTGATAAATGGTCCAGGATGGACCGAAACTTCGTCAATTCCTTTATTTTCAGATGTGTGGGTTGTGCGTTTCATTATCAACCTCGTTATTGTGGCTTACTGTCAGCAGGCCAGGTCAGAGACCGGGCCACGGGGATGTTGATCCCCAAAATCAACGCAAAGTAAAGGTATCGTCTGCAAATGCGAATTAACAAACTGGTCACGTTTCTGGAAACAGTCACCAGCATCTCTGACGAAGTCCAGGGACTCGAGTTCGATCTCAATGCACGGCCTCAATATTTGTCTAATAATATATCATGTTGATTTTATTATGCCAAGGACTCCAAGAAGATGTTCTGTCCGTGTACGTTTCTAAGGACTTTAATAAGAAACAGACAAGACTCGCCCGAACATTTCAAACACATGGAATTACTAAAATACGCGAATGGATTAAAAAAAACACTAATAAACACAGCAAGCAAAGACTCGTCATGTATGGAATAGAATCATATTGGAAAAGCTTTATGTTTGGTGCGTTGGAAGGATCTATTTTAGTATCATCTCTTGTTTCTTGTGATATGAAGACAGTGATATTAATGTCACAAACGACATCACGTTATTACAGCAGCCTTGCCAAAAATATCTATATGACCTTCACAAATGGTCAAGAGACTAGCAAAGACTATTCAGTATTAAAAGATACCGGACCTTCATGCGAGTCTTACCAATACACTCACAATTATCATACTGACAGCATGGCTATGCAGTAGTGAACAAGAACACTAGTTATTCCAAGGTGCTCATCAAAATCTTAATCAAACTCCTAATTATATTCTTTAAACCCCCCCTCAAGAAAAAGTGAATTTCCTATTATTCTGAAAAAAACATCTAACGGTCTGATTAGTTGGTCAACCTGTCAACGTTTCCAAACATATCTCATCATCTTCCTTATTATAATTGTTCATATTTATACATATTAAAATGAGACAAGAATGCATGCAGGGTTTTGCTATATACATCTTTATCAACTGACAGTGCCACTTCTTGTGGTCGTCAATTTCTCAGTGCCACATTTCTTGGTCTTAAAACATCACAGTGCCACCCCCTCGTGGTCTCAACACATCACCGTGCTCTCCTGTGTGAAGCCTTCCTGGTCGCCTCTTTCTCTGCTGTATGTGAAGCTTATTGTAATTTATCTCATCTCTACAGAAATTCATCTCTCAATGTCCTATTAATATCTTTAACTTTTTACCCTTGTTGTGGAGTTTTTAATACTTGTATTTTAGTTCTCGTTTAAATTAGATTTAAAACCAAATCACAGTATACAATATGTTCGTGTAGTTTTGCTTTACATCAAATAAACTAATCCCTTTACATGTCGTGTACGGGCTGCAGTCATTAACTATATGTGTGCGTGTGTTTATATTCCATTAACTTCATGTTTTCAGCTTCTCCTCTGTATCTCTTAAAACATGCAGACTATATCCTTCTCTGGAAAGTTGAGAAGTGATTTAGACGTGACTAACTGACGGCTGGGATTATATTACAGAGGACATGTTCATGTACTCTCGCTTCATGGAGTACAGCGTACCAGTCAAGTGCACAGCTCTCATCCCCAACATACTGGGCTTTGTGATGCTCTTCACCCTCGTCTCCCTCTACGGCCGCTTCCCGCCCAACCAGGTTAGAGGAGTGGGGCAGGCCACCATGTCTCTGGCATAGTCACATGTGCAGCACAGATGTGGCAGTCAAAGTCCTTCTTTGCGATGAATGGATGTGTGTGTGTGTGTGTGTGTGTGTGTGTGTGTGTGTGTGTGTGTGTGTGTGTGTGTGTGTGTGTGTGTGTGTGTGTGTGTGTGTGTGTGTGTGATATAAATGCGACACTAAAGTCCTGATTTGAAATGGAGAGATGTGCGGCAGAAAGTGAGAATGAATGGAGGTTTTGCGATAGGAATTTGTGTCATCATAGAATAGATTAATTGACTGATTATCAAGGCATTTTTTATGTGGTGCCATAGCCTTTCTTTTTATAAGAAAATAGTTTTATCATGCCTTAATTTTCTTGAATGTATTCTATATTGAACGAAGACAATAACATTGCTTTATTGATATATCGAGTTATATATATATATATATATATATATATATATATATATATATATATATATATATATATATTAATACATATATTAATACATATATTAATGTAATACATGTATGTATATATATATATTAATTTTGTGTGTGTGTATGTGAGTGTAAAAAATTTAAGATTTTGTATTCATCACCTGCTATCCCAGATAACGAGTTGCAGTAATGATGTATTCATCATAAGTGTAGATCAAAGTGGTATATATATACAAGTCTGGTAGTTGCTGCTTTCATTACCGTTCTCACGAGTTACCTCACGCTTAACCTCAATTAAAACTCTTCCACATTTTTGGTTGCAAACTGTTGTCGTAATCCACAGTTTTCCTTCCCCCAGCCTTGACACAGCTTTGTCCCAGCATGGACCTGTATTATGCACAGCCACACCTCACGATGCACAGCCACACCTCACGATGCACAGCCACACCTCACGATGCACAGCCACACCTCACGATGCACAGCCACACCTCATGATGCACAGCCACACCTCACGATGCACAGCCACACCTCATGATGCACAGCCACACCTCATGATGCACAGCCACACCTCACGATGCACATATCCACACACCAACACCACAACTGTTTTTCCTTCTGTGTGTTTGGTTCTCCCTCGCGTGTGCTCTATGCCAAGAATTCAGTACCATTACGGGCAGCAGTGACTTTAGCGACCCTCATCCACAAGGGGGGAAGTAAATCAGTCCTCATATTGGGTCTCGAATATCAGGACAACTGGAGGGTATTGTTTATCTTGTTCGTATACAGTAGCTCCTGCATTGAGTGGTCCACACAGTGACTCCTGTACTGACAGGACACCAAACAAAAGCATGGTTGCACACGTAGAATCGCCTAATAATAATAATAATAATAATTTTATTTGTAAAATATACATAGGAACATGTTACAGGGGTTAAATTAATTAATTAATAAGTACATAAATTGTATATCATATAGAGCCACTAATACACACAGCCCTTTGGACATAACTTTAGATAACCTGCTACCTCCCCCAGCAATAAAATAGGTACCAGGGAGTTATATTATAAAATTATATATATATATATATATATATATATATATATATATATATATATATATATATATATATATATATATATATATTATAAAAGTAATGTCGCTAAGTACATGAATGGTACTGGATTTAAGCAATATTTATTTGTTTATTAGCGTTATTTATCAATTAAATGAGCTCATTCTGAATCCGAGGCTTGATTTCATAAGAAAGTCCTTTGATTTAGTTTGCTAAGACAGTGAACACTGTTACCTTGTTTTACTTAACTCGTGCTTTGGGACCTAAGTTTAAACATTGAACTTGTGAGGAATTACCAGCAGTGAACACTAAATACAGTATTACTATTGTATAGAGAGTTAACTTAGATTCCAGCATTGACAAATATTTCGACACCACTCACATGGGTTTGACAAACTGTGCGGGTTTGTCGCATAGACTGTGCATACTTTGTTTGATTTGAATCTATATCAATTATTCTCTTCGATAAATATTAATTTGACTTTGTTAATTATGTATGAATCGGAGCAAATACTGTGCTATGATTGCTTATAGTAATTTGGAATGAATTAGATTACTAATACATATTTGATGTTTATTAATTAATAATATATATAAATTTCTGTAAAATACTCATTAACAAAAATTAATACATTTCAATATGCTTTACTGGAAATTTTGGTTAGCTCTTCATTGTATCATGTGTCAGAATAAGCTTAACTTAGTGAGGGAAGTGGGCTGCGAGGGTCGAGCTCCATGCCTTGGCCCCCAGCCCCGCTCACAGCATCTCTCACAGCACTCGTCTCTCCTCCCCCCCCCCCCCCCCCCACCCCCTCACCCACCAGTTGCACCCCAAGGCTCGCCCACGACCACGAAATGCCCGAAACCCCTGAATCCGGGCGACACGTGTGTGTCAGGTCTGCTATATATATACACTTTATAGTGGTCTTGAGCCTCTTAGCAGGGCCTCTTAGCTGAGCCTCTTAGCTGAGCCTCTTAGAACAAGGTTCGCCCTCGTAGTCCAACCCTCCCTCTAGTGTCTCGCTGCAGCTTGTTGGTTTCTACCATAATTTAGATACCTAGATTCTTGACCTTCTTAGCACACAAGTCTGACTCTCGCACTGAGAATAGGAGAGGCAGTCGTGGTGGAAAAGTCTATATTTTGAAAGTAAACTGTAACCAAAAAAAAAAAAGTCATATAATGACAAATATTTTATATTTACAAAGTAGCAGATTATTTTGAAAGCTTCAAAATGGCAGATTATATCATTGTTGTGATTAATGTCTTTGATTACTTTTAAACTATTTGCCCAATCCTAACATGGATAAATAATTGGCCATGTTTCTAGTTGCCTTTCCTATTTGCCTGTGTTTGAGTGCTTGGTACTATGCGGGGGTCAGGTCACTTGTGCGATCCCTCACCCCTGTGCTTGTGCATGACTGCACGAGGCTGTGTTGATGCTGCATGACGGTAGGTGAAGCCCAGTGGTTAGACACGGCACTTGCATAGCATGCCAACAGTCCTTCATGCATTCTTATTGGTAGGGAATTTTGATTTTTTATTAGTTTATATATATATATATTATATAATATATGTATGAAAAAAAGCTTGAATGGTTCCAAGCCATAAATCACTTAAGCCAAGAACCTCCATAGCAAGGGATCACCCCTTAGTTATGTAGGCTCTATATATATATATATATATATATATATATATATATATATATATATATATATATATATATATATATATATATAAAATATTTGTCATTTTATATATATAATATGTACGTTTTATACGCATTTGTTCCTTTGTTGATCTGGTCTTTGCATAGAGCATGTGTGAAGCTGATGAGTGTGACCTCTGCAGTTTGTCCATAGCTCCCTGGGGGTCACGTTCGACAATTAGTAGCTTATAAACTAAGCGTAAAGCTGTACTGAGCACTGAGACAGGTTGAGTTGTCTGAGGCGCGGCACCAGGCAGCCACCCCCAAGGAATCATGCTGTGTTTACGCCAACTTTTTTTGGGATATTAAATTAGTCTTGACTCAAAAATATATCATCAAGGCAGTTTATGTGCATGTATAAATCAGCATTAACAAATATTACAATTACATTATAAAATATAATATATATATATATATATATATATATATATATATATATATATATATATATATATATATATATATATATATATATATATATATATATTCATTTTGTTCTTTGGAACTCAAAAATAATGTAACCTTTATCGAAACATATGTATGTATAATCTTTTTATTGGTATTTGTTATTCAGTAAGAATTAGGTTGATAGCTATGTTTCTCCTGCTCTTACACACATTCTTACACACACACACACACACACAAAGGTAACCAGGCCCACATCAAAAGAATATCATCAGCGGCATTTGCTAGACTGGCCAACATAAGAACTGCCTTCAGAAACTTGTGTAAGGAATCTTTCAGAACCCTGTATACCACTTATGTAAGACCAATCCTGGAGTATGCAGCTCCAGCCTGGAGTCCATACCTAGTTAAACACAAGACAAAGTTAGAGAAGATTCAGCGGTATGCCACCAGGCTCGTCCCGGAACTGAGAGGATTGAGCTACGAGGAAAGGCTAAAGGAGCTGAACCTCACATCCCTGGAAAACAGAAGAGTAAGGGGAGACATGATAACCACCTACAAAATTCTCAGGGGAATTGACAGGGTGGACAAAGACAAACTCTTCAGCACGGGTGGGACACGAACAAGGGGACACAGGTGGAAACTTAGTACCCAGATGAGCCACAGAGACGTTAGAAAGAATTTTTTCAGTGTCAGAGTAGTTAATAAATGGAATGCACTAGGAAGTGATGTGGTGGAGGCTGACTCCATACACAGTTTCAAATGTAGATATGATAGAGCCCAGTAGGCTCAGGAATCTGTACACCAGTTGATTGACAGTTGAGAGGCGGGACCAAAGAGCCAAAGCTCAACCCCCGCAAGCACAATTAGGTGAGTACACACACACACACACACACACACACACACACACACTGATGCTTAACAGGGGGTTTGGTCTATCCCATTACTCTCAAAAGGATTTCTTACAGATATCCCGTCTTGCAGGTGCAGGTATACTGGTAATATGATTAAGAATATCATGTCTACTATTGGCATGTCAACATTTGGGTTCAGCTTCGTAGTGTCAACAAAATACATGCTAATTTACATAGCTTCTTCACATTGCATTTTATTTTTATATTTTTGTATTCTGACTAAATGTTCAGTGTTTTCACTCCAAGCATTAAATATATTCTTAATAGCATTAAGAATCCAAGCATTAAATACAATGTTCTTAATACATGGTGATTTAACGTAGCCACATATTTAACGACTAATATGCATGTACACGCACTACAGGTTTTTAGTTTAGGTCGCATCTATCTTTCCTCCGGGGAATGTTGTAATTCGTGCCTAATGTACATTATTTTGGAAGAGCGAACCTTTGCATCAGTCTCCGGTGTAGCAGCATGTGTGCGTTAGGTTACGTTCCAAAAGTTAATTTCCCATTTTCTTTCAGGACGGCACGTATGGGGGTAGACTGAAGAAGAAACGGCGCTCGTCGTGGCGGCGGGAGAGGTGGTCAGCGTCAGAACACTACTATCGCGACCTGTCGTCTGGAAGTCAGAGCAGCGACAAACGCACCCTCAGGATAAAGAGGGCTTTCAAAATCGCCAAGACCACCAACTTATAACCCCGGCCGCCAGGGTCTCTGTCTCGGCACCTCAGCTAGTCTCTCGTGTGTAGAGCCATGTGTGTGTGTGTGTGTGTGTGCTGTACACACACATGCAACTTGTGTTGCTTCGTCTCCTGATGCCCCTTTTATAAATTGGTTACCCTTTTCTCTCAATTGATTATTCAGCTTTGCTTTTCATTATTTATACCATAAACTTATGGTATAAATAATGAAAGTATACTTATACTTTATACTTATTCATTATTAATACCATAAACGGTTGTGCTGCCTACATAACCTACACAGGCAGCTTTGGGCTCGTTTTGTCTTATGTTGATTATATATATATATATATATATATATATATATATATATATATATATATATATATATATATATATATATATATTAGTGTAAACTGGCCACAGGTTTTCATTTAGACATGTTTCATTAAATATGGCTGCATATTCTGTATTCATTTTCTTGTTTAGTGCTTCTGTCCCTCTGACTAGTACTCTTGCCTCTTGGTTTAATTTATATATATATATATATATATATATATATATATATATATATATATATATATATATATATATATATATATATATATATATATATAATGTCGTACCTAGTAGCCAGAACGCACTTATCAGCCTACTATGCAAGGCCCAATTTGCCTAATAAGCCAAGTTTTCCTGAATTAATATATTTTCTCTAATTTTTTTCTTATGAAATGATAAAGCTACCCATTTCATTATGTATGAGGTCAATTTTTTTTAATGGAGTTAAAATTAACGTAGATATATGATCGAACCTAACCAACCCTACCTAACCTAACCTAACCTATCTTCATAGGTTAGGTTCGGTTAGGTAGCAGAAAAAGTTAGGTTAGGTAGGTTAGGTAGTCGAAAAAACATTAATTCATGAAAACTTGGCTTATTAGGAAAATCGGGCCTTGCATAGTAGGCTGATAAGTGCGTTCTGGCTATTAGGTACGACATATATATATATATATATATATATATATATATATATCTACATACATATATATATTTCGTATTTAGTTTCCCATCACATTCGTATATTTAATGTCACCCTCCACTCTGACTTCAGGTTTCACCGAGAGGAGACACAACAACAAAGCTGAAATTGAGACACGGCAAATAACTACTTTGTATTTATAAACTAAAGTATATGTAACATATATTTTCTTTAGAGTTTTCGTATGATACACAAAGGTTGTTCTCTAGAGGAGATTCAGAAAATGGTATCTGGCACTTTTGTGAATGTTGAAGTCGCATAGTGTGTGTGTGTGTGTGTTTGTTCTCAGCTAGTTGTGCTTGCGGGGATTGAGCTCTGGCTCTTTGGTCCCGCCTCTCAACAGTCAAATCAACTGGTGTACAGATTCCTGAGCCTACTGGGCTCTATCAAATCTACATTTGAAACTGTGTGTGGAGTCTGCCTCCACCATATCACTACTTAATGCATTCCGTTTGTTAAGTAATCTGACTGAAAAAATTCATTCTAAGGTCTTTGTGGCTCATCTGGGTTCTAAGTTTCCACCTGTGTCCCCTTGTTCGTGTCCCACCCTGTGTGTGTGTGTGTGTGTGTGTGTGTGTGTGTGTGTGTGTCCACGGCTAGTTGCGTATACAAGGTCGAGTAATAGCTCCTTAGCCCCGCTTTTCTATATGGTCGGGTAATGCAAAAACATTCATTCCTCCTGTTTCTCGTTGTGTGGGTGTGTGTGTGCTTCTTTGGTATGAGAAAAAGAGACAGTGTACTGCCAGAAACCCAGTTATTAATTCTGTGTAGCTATTTGTAAATTGCCATAAAATACCTTTTGATTTTCACGAAAATTGTAGTAGGATATTCTTAGGTTCTATTGAACCCTCTCTTGATTTATGAAGAATAATTGTAGCAGCTTGTTCCATTTGTATGTAACCCATGGTTTGTAAAATAATAATATTGTATTACTAAAGTTCATTCCCTGAGTGTTATAGGTATTTTATGTAACAAGATATATATACAGTATCTTCAAAATATTAAATGCTACTTGTACTAGACATTTCTGGGGTTATATATATATATATATATATATATATATATATATATATATATATATATATATATATATATATATAAAATGTGTTATTAATGTGAAAATAACTATATAATTAGACAAAAAATCAACATTATATGGTAGAATATAACACGTATGATAAAATAAATGGATTATGCAATGTGTTTACAACAAATGTTGGTGCAGACGGTCACATCAGAGGAGAGTCTGGGTGGTGATATATCACTTGGTGACTGACGCGGAAGCTTCATGTGAAGAATTCTGGTAGTTTCTTGATGTGACTATCTGAACCTTGAAGGTATGGAAACCCCCTTCCCGTTAACAGGCAACTGTTGAGTACCACCATTGATGCTTGCTTCATGGAGAGTGTAACAACTGCATCCAATATGCCTTAACTTTGCCTCTTAAATAGCTAAATAGTAAGTATATATGGCATAAGTCGATATTTTGTTGATGTCGATTATACCTTGTCACTTACCCGTAGACGATATGAGAAAAGCGCGCCAACTAGACGTTTCCACAGCTAGATATACTAATGGGATGGCAAACCTGGTGAATAAGAACACTGAATTACCGAAGACAGCAAGAAACCCATTAGTGTGTTCACAGAAACTGAATTATAACCATAACCCGTCTCTTTGTGTGCTTCGTGGCATGTGGGTTTATAGTACTGTATGATATTCTCAACACCAACTCCTCGTTAAACTCTCCCATGGACTCTGGCTGCGAAATCACGCAAAATATATCGAAATTAAAATTGATGATATTACTGATAATTGCAGTTTTGGTAGTTTTTGAGTGTGTGTTCACACACACGTCTCGCCAGAGCGTGTTCACTCGCAGAACGTTTTCAGGGGTTCACTCACTGTGGTCTCTTCGCAATCTTTCAGTTGTCACTGTACGGTGGGACTGACATTCTCGTAGGGGCGTTCCAACAGCGTACTTTGGAACCTCGGGTAACACCGAGGAGGGATCAGTTAGTAGCTTACTGAACGCTACTTCACCGTACGGTTGGTGAGGTGGACAAAATTGTAAAGCAACTCGAAGTAGGCATGAATGGTTGAATGGCAGAATAGTGGAAACAAAATCTGCTTAAACAACAAAATATATATATATAAGAATATATACGCCAAATGAGAATCAAGGAACGTATTTCAGTAGTGGATACGGAAAAGGCTCGCAAAAATAATTTTACAATAAATTAAGAGGCTCAAGTAAATGTTGTACACAAAAATTAAAAAAGAAACTCAAAATGTGTGAACTAGGAGTGAGTATGGAGGTGCCTAGTAGTGTGAACTACTGCTAAAGAGCTACTAGATGCCTAGTTGCACTAGACTTATAGCGTAGCTATAACTCTCCCCTCGCCTTCTCATCAATCCTTTCCCAACACACCTTTCACATTCCAACCACTTCTCCTAAAATGATAATACATGTAGAAACTGCTTGGCCGAACGTACAGAAATGGACGGTTGCATCAATTTTCACGTTTTGTACTTCAAATTTGCAGAGGGCGCGGAAAAACTAAGCCAAAAACCAAACTTTAAGATATAATTAGTTGTGTATTATATTAGGCCTAGGATTCCTTAGGCAGGATCGGTTAGACTACGCACTTACCAATCAGTAACTACCCAAAAGTAAGGTATATGCCCTGGCCATTACCCCTTGTCGGATCTGTTGCGTTATATTGACCAGACCACACACTAGAAAATGAAGGGACGACGACGTTTCGGTCCGTCCTGGACCATCATCGTCATCGACTTGAGAATGGTCCAGGACGGACCGAAACGTCGAATTTGTCATTACAGTTGTGGATGGAGGTGTCTTCCACAACTTCTTCCTGTGAATGCCACTTGTTACTTTACAGTTTTCTTGCCCTTGTCATTTGTGCTAATTCAGTAGTACAAAATGTTAACTTTTGGGAGGTCCAACAGTCCATTTTTGTACGTACGACCAAATAGTTGCTATAAATACGATCATTTCAAGAGGATGAGATGTCATTCATAGCATCTTCAAAGACAACGCACTTTCTTGCCCCAGACGTAATAAATGACATGTTTTTTATTCGTAGGAAGCTCTTAATAGCCAACGATTTTCAAAGGTGAAACATATTTAAGACAATGCGATATCAGTGCTCTCGTCTCTTCGTAGACTAGTTTTACACACTTGACAAACAAAAAATTCGTCGGGACGGTGTTTCCGGGTGGACAAAAGTAGTTGGGTACAGTAGTTAAAACAACTATTTTCACAAATATTTTACAAGGATTTTCGTACAGTGTTTGTGGTGGTGGGGGCAAGGGGTGAATATCCGTTACTTTAGACGCCTCATCCTTCCTTGAGACATTCCTTATATCTCAATGTTCTATCCTTGTGACAGGTTTCTTATTCCCTCTGAACAGTTCCCGTATTACCAAAATTCCACGTCTTTCTAGAGGCTGCCCCTGCGAAAGACTGAGTATGGTCTTAATAGACTCTCTATCCTCCACGATGTGTAGACTTTTCTCGAAAGGATCCCCAACCGCACTGACGCAAAGTGGGGACAACTCATCGGCTCTGTGACCAATGTAAAGAGTCCGATGATAATTGGTTCTCTACTGTGTAGTTCTTTTTTATGCAATCCTTAAACTCTAAGGCGGAATATCCAGGCGTGTGTAGGATGTCAGGCGTGGCATAATATGTAATATTCTGATAATATACCGTTGAGTGTTCAGCTTATAACCATCTCATATAAAAGTTTTTCTTTAATTAGCTTTTATTATATATAATTGAAAATGAAGCTTTTTGGATATTTACATTAAAGTGAATGTGAGAAGCCTTATCATCGTTGAAGTCTAAGATTGTCCGATTGTCTTAGATGATTGTCTAAGACTCCAAGCACTCAGACGTGTAGTGGTATCCGTTGTAACGTCAAACCGTATGTTGTGTCTCTGGGTCATGTTGTTGATGATGCCACCTGCGTCATCATGCTGCCGATGATGTCACCTGCGTCATCATGCTGATGATGATGTGTCACTGGGTCATGTTGATGATGATGTCACCTGCGTCATGTTGATGATTATGATGATGTCACCTGCATCATCAAGTTGACGATGGCCCCGATTCTGTACATAATCTTTGAAGGCCGTGACAAAAGACTGTGACATCGATGCAATTTAATATGTATGTATATATATATATACCATACGTACACATTATAAACTGTATATATAATCGTTGTGTGAAAGTAAAGTGTTCAGGAAAACTATTTAGCACCCAGTTGCAGCCGTCTCTTCCAGCATCCGTTTTCTTCCTGCATTGTGACTGTATGTCTTAACATATAAGATGATCAGTAGCAGCCTCGAAAAGGTTTCGAGGTACTCGCTTGATACTCCCAATCACACGCTCTAAGACCACTACACCACGACATGGCACAAAAAGCAATGCAACCGGGGATTCCGCTGAATCCTCTAGGATTCCTGAGGCTTACAACTAAAT